GTGCTCGGAGCGCAATTCCACAAGGATTGACCGCAGTGGAGCCCCAGGTAGTGGACCCTGGTACACAACCCTGAATTACGACCTCACAACGACTCACACGGGCCCCCTTTTGACTTCCACCCATACATCGGAAGGGAATGCAAAATTAAAGACAAGCCACAGTAGTGTGATTGTGGCCACGCAAGCGAAATGATGGACTATATAGTAAACCCATACACACCCAAATATATACAGACTCGTAGAGATACATACAGATCCAGTGAAATACAGAGACACACCGATATCCATACAGGCACATTGAGGCACATGAGGTCCAATGAGACAGATACTGTAATTGGTGGCCATGCAACCGAAATTATGACCACATCGTAAACCTTCAATTGAGAAATGTCAAAACTACAGGAACTTCTGAAACCCTCCAGTCGCTGGCAGACTTCCACATGGGCATTCAGCGCCTGAACCATATTTCCACCATCCGCAAGAACAGACCGGAACCTGCCTCGCCATGAATTATCTTAACATTCCGTAACGCGAATTCCTTTACTCCTGGAATTAAAAGTCAGAAGGACATTGCTGCACGTTGACATAAGACGCACCGATATATCCTCTGTGCAGTGAACCCACTTCCACTTATGCAGAAACAACGTTTGGCTGAGCAAAGTGTCCACAGCCACACGCGTCTCGAACGAACGTGCGAGTGGCGATATCAATAACCCACACTCGAATCACATTTGACCCCAAATTTCTTTACATCGACCCCCATTATGTCATTCTGTTTCCCTCTTGGGCTGCGTGCTGGCAAGCACTCTATGCACTCATAAACGTGTAGCTATGCAGCCAAATCGTGTCATTGCCATACATGTCAACCCATACAGTTTACCCGTATTCTTGTAGGGGGAAATTTAGTTTCCAGGTCGATACGGCGTACATCCGTTTCAATATGGGCAATAAAAATCATACAGAGAGGATACAAAAGTCGTGGAACAGCTTGTTGTTAATCTGGAGAGTAGCGATCCCCGTAGCGGCCGACAAATTTGATCCGGAATTAAGACGCTCTCGGTACAGAACATGCACATGAACTACACTTATTTAGTAATATCATTTCTGTCTCTTTGTGTTGGGACTTTCATGGATGAACGTTGATATATTTATAACGGCACGGGGCGACCAATAAGGTCTGAATTGGTCTGTACTAAGGTCGGTACTGACACAGCCAAACCAAATCAAGCAGTCGCTGGAACGAAACGTGCCAATTCGACATTGTGTTCAGCAACAGGCGGTTGAAAGAGATTGCGCGCAGAATTTGACTCGAGTACTGTATTGAGATCCGACGTTTTGCTGTAAATGACATCCCAGCTTCATCAGGCGAGCAACCATAGCCGTTCGTCGGCAAGAGATCGCACCGACTGAGGGGCCGTCCATAAATGACGTCACACGATTTTGGACGATTTTTGACCCCCCTCGTCACACGGCGTCACAAAAAGTCAGACCCCCCATACCTCAAATATGACGTCACAAAGCTCTGCCCCCCCCCACCCCAAAAAAAAATATATAACATGCTTCAAATCGCTTTAAACTATCGTCATTGTATTGCGTATTTAATGTGGCGCTGCACTCTGATGTTGTAGGAGAAAACATTAAAAAGTATATTTAATTAAGTAGAACGTGTTGTCTATATTTATTTAAAGTTGCGCATTTTGATGTGACGTCACATTTCTCACCCCCCCCCCCCCGTCGTCACACATCGTCACAAATGTCTGACCCCCCCCCCCCCCAGGTGCGTGACGTCATTTATGGACGGCCCCAGATCCCGAATTAGAATAGGCGTGGTGACGTCATCGGCCCAGCCAAGCCCGGGAAACGGAAGTAAAATGTTCCTGTGATAATATTACAAAATAATTAACAAACTTTATCACGATTAGATACTATGTTGTTAACCACTGGAATTGAAGTATGTTGCAAAGCCTTCTTAAGAATGTTCGAGTACTTTTTAATATGAGGTTATCATTGTTTCAGCCGGCCATACATATACAGCGTATAAAGCCCCCACCAATAAGACAGCAACAGAAATGTCTACTTCTTGACTCTTGACACATTTACCAGAGAAGGTAACAGGGAGTAACTGAAACTCGATATAGTCCACGCACCCACACGAGTCCGCGACCCTCACACCAATGCTTGCATCGAAACTCAACTCGACGACTGAAACTCTCTCTCTGCGAGGTTCCTCAAGTCCTTGGTTCTTTAAACAAACTCCAGATGATTACAAACATCCTCCTCAGCCACATATACGAGACCACGTCACTCCAATACTCTGGTACCCTCTGCTGGCTCAACGTCCAATGACACATCAACTGCAATAACTCTCAATCGCCATCACTCGACTCATCTCCACACTCTCCGTTTCAGCAGTCAATGTTTCCTCGCAAACCTCGCCCCCCTCCGCCCCACCAGTCAACCTTCTGCTACAAACTTCAAACGCGAGTTCAGAAGAGATGGAGCAAAATATGTACGGGTGACAGCTAAAGTGAAAACAACCTCCCAGCAGATGACTCGAGGGTCGAACCTCCTCTTGGCTTGGCAGCAGAACATTACACGCAGGACATTGCACGCAGGACATTACACGCAGGACATTACACGCAGAACATTACACGCAGGACATTACACGCAGGACATTACACACAGAACATTACACGCAGGACATTACACGCAGGACATAGGACATTACACGCAGGACATTACACGCAGGACATTGCACGCAGGACATTACACGCAGGACATTACACGCAGAACATTACACGCAGGACATTACACGCAGGACATTACACGCAGGACATTACACACAGAACATTACACGCAGGACATTACACGCAGGACATAGGACATTGCACGCAGGACATTACACGCAGGACATTGCACGCAGGACATTGCACGCAGGACATTACACGCAGGACATTACACGCAGGAGATTACACGTAGGACATTACACGCAGGACATTACACGCAGGACATTGCACGTAGGACATTACACGCAGAACATTACACGCAGGACATTACACGCAGGACATTACACGTAGGACATTACACGCAGGACATTGCACGTAGGACATTACACGCAGGACATTACACGCAGGACATTGCACATAGGACATTACACGTAGGACATTACACGCAGGACATTACACGCAGAACATTACACGCAGGACATTACACGCAGGACATTACACGCAGGAGATTACACGCAGGACATTACACGCAGAACATTACACGTAGGACATTACACGCAGGACATTACACGCAGAACATTACACGCAGGACATTGCACGCAGGACATTACACGCAGGACATTACACGCAGAACATTACACGCAGGACATTGCACGCAGGACATTACACGCAGAACATTACACGCAGGACATTACACGCAGAACATTACACGCAGGACATTACACGCAGGACATTACACGTAGGACATTACACGCAGGACATTGCACGTAGGACATTACACGCAGGACATTACACGCAGGACATTGCACGTAGGACATTACACGTAGGACATTACACGCAGGACATTACACGCAGAACATTACACGCAGGACATTACACGCAGGAGATTACACGCAGGACATTACACGCAGAACATTACACGTAGGACATTACACGCAGGACATTACACGCAGAACATTACACGCAGGACATTGCACGCAGGACATTACACGCAGGACATTACACGCAGAACATTACACGCAGGACATTGCACGCAGGACATTACACGCAGAACATTGCACGTAGGACATTACACGCAGGACATTACACGCAGAACATTACACGCAGGACATTGCACGCAGGACATTACACGCAGGACATTGCACGCAGGACATTACACGCAGGACATTACACGCAGAACATTACACGCAGGACATTACACGCAGGACATTACACGCAGAACATTGCACGCAGGACATTACACGCAGGACATTACACGCAGAACATTACACGCAGGACATTACACGCAGGAGATTACACGCAGGACATTACACGCAGAACATTACACGCAGGACATTGCACGCAGGACATTGCACGCAGAACATTACACGCAGAACATTACACGCGGGACATTGCACGCGGGACATTGCGGCTCCGTTACGCACACAGGGAGAGGCTCAATGGTGCTCCGCAGGGCGAAGATGGTGAGCAACTTGAAACGATAGGACTTGCGAGTGAACATCTCTGTCCACGGTCACTAAAATTACCCGGAAACATCTCCAGAAGCTCTCGTACCGGTTATCAAAATTCGCCGTCACACTACATAATGCTCCTGTTCCACTATACATCAGCACCACCTCCCTGCCTTTCTCTCCCGCACCAATTATCTCCCTCCATCGAATTCCCTCTCCCACACACGACTTCGTCCACTTCCTCACCACCTCTTCCCCGCTCCCCATCTCCCTCCAGCACTCTCCTTATGCCCCCCCCCTCTACCCCCACCCCAATCCATTCCATTAATCTCCCCCACTCTCAACATTCACGAGAGAGGGCGAGAGATGGTGTCAAGAGAGAGAGAGAGCAAAGGAGAGGAGCGAGGGAAAGTGGGGGAAGTGAGAGATGGGGCAAAGTGCTGGGATTTATGAGACAGCGGGGATAGTGGTGGAGAGAGAGAGAGAGTGGTGGGGTGAAGGGAGGGAAGGAGTGAGACGGATGAAGTCGTGGGGAGAGGGGGATTGTGAGTAGAGAGTGGGATGGAGGAAGAAGGTGAGATATGGAGGAAGAGCGTGTGTGGGGTGGGGGGGGGGTGGAGGTGATTGGGGAGAGAGTGGCGGAGGGACGGGGTGAACGGATGGGAGTCGTGGAGAGAAAGTGGTGGATAGAGGGATGGAAGGGGTAAACGGTATGATGGGAAGAGAGCGAGGGGAGAGTGGGATAGATGGAGAGAGGGAGGTGAAGAGATGGGGAGTAGTGGAGAGAGGAAGGGATGAAGGGAGGGAGTGAATGAGAGATGGAGAGAGGGAGAGAGCGAGGGGAGAGTGGAATGAGGGAGAGAGAGAGAGAGAGGGATTTGCGCATGGAGTGAGGTGCAGTCCGTCGTGCGTGTACAGTGCCCTGATGTATTATTCATGGCGCGCCATTGATTGAGGGAGAAGTCTCCTGCAGAGAGAGAGAGGCGCGCACGGTGCAGTCTCCACAGCCTTGCGGACACCGCGGACCATCAACATCATCATCAGCATCGACATCCTCATCGACATCGCCAGCGACATCCTTCTGACAGCGGCAGCAGAAACGACCTGCTGACTCACGGCAAATGTAACGCATCAACATCATCAGTGACATTAGACACGTGCTCATCAGCTGCAGCAACGTTCTCATAATCATGATTATCAGCACGAGCAGACAGGTGCTCATCAACATGATCATCAGCAATAGTAACGTGTTCCATCAACAGCAGCAGCACTGCGCTAATCATCATTAGCGACCTGTTGGTAATCGTCATTATTATTATCAGCAGCCACTCCTGCAACGTGCGTATTATTATCATCACCATCATCATCACAATCAACAGCAGCAGCAATCGGCAACATGATCTGCGTCAACATCAAGGTCATCACTATCACTCATGAGAGACGGCTGGACAATGAAGTTTGAATAGGATCAGTGGTTTAACAGGGCCACACGGTTATGATTGTATATTTTTTAATTAAAATCAACAAGATTGAAATCTTAAATCGCGTATTGTAATATTAATGTCATTAACATGCATTCCTTATGTGTGATGGAAACATGGGATACAACACATTTATATACGGTAATTTGAATGAAGTTATTGATATGGCTACCTTTGATTATTTCAATATTTGCTGATGTATTGTATCAACTATGTGTTTAAAAAAAAGGGAATAGAGAGAGGATTGTTTAAACAGGACTAATCTCTCAGCATCTTCGAAAGTCATTAACCGGTAACCGATTAAATTGGAGTTTTAATGAGGAATGCACTCATTGAAAAAGTTGCACCATTATTTTAACTGCCACGCCGGGAGATAGAATCTGACAGTCCAGAGTGCTGGCCAGTGTTACACCGCGGCACAATCCCTCCTCGCCGCTCGCGGTAGGAACGGTCACCAATTCTGTGCTCATTGCTGTGGGACATTTCTATAATGTGCAGCGAAACCGCGAATTGGTTTTACTTTCAATTTATTGCCGTTAACGGTAATGGGGGAAAAAAAACCGATGTTAACAACCATAGTCATAACTTTTGAGGCATTTATACTCTTAATAATTAAAAATACATGAATAACGGATAAAAGCATTTGAGAACGTTTTGCATTATATGAACACCTCTATGAATATAACGCAGCATATCAATTAACTCCACCTACATTTGTTGTGGTATCATGCACATCGCGTGTGATCCAGCGCTTTAGATTCAAGGTGTGACGGATCACGTAGAGATTTGTGAAAATTAATCAACTCACCCTGGACTGGAGCGAGTATAGCATATAGGTCCGTAAACTCGTAAAATAACACTTAAAAAACACATTCTCGTTCACTGCTTTTTACACCTAATATATGTACTAGGGATTCACGACGTTCAGTGTGTTGGGCATACTATTTTCATGCGTAACGTGGTATTAAATAAAATTATTGCCATCGTGATTTAATTTAGTTGTTTTATTTTATTTTACCTACGTGACTTTACCGACAAAAAACCAAAGAGTGTGAATCCTTGCAGTCACGAAAGCTTCAAATCTAGAATTATTGCCATCACTGTTCGCTGGACTCTCTTGGATGTCGGGAGGCTCGAAAGGTGCTCGAGTGATCGACGTCGTGCTGCGTGGTCCGTGCTCTGAAGGTCTCCCCCCGTGCTTGCTGGTCGCCTTGTGTTCTGATTTGACTGCAGTGGGGTACTCGTACCTTTTATTAAGATGTCCATTGTGTGGATTGTAAGGTGTTTGTGTGGAGGTCAAAATGTTAAGCGTTTTCAGATGCAAATTGTTGGAATCTCGCTGCATAAACACGTTCTTGTTGTTATTACGGGTCATTGACAGTGATGCCCTCGTAACCCGACCGGTTGGTGGGATGTCTTCGTCCAGTTCGGCTCGTTCTGTTTCTGTGTATCCACGTCTCCACGTATTTGTGCCTCGCGGTGTGTCTGTGTTTCGCCGCGTCTCTTGCTCTCGATCTTTCGCGTCGGTGTCTCACCTTTGTGTCTGTACCTCCGTGTCTACGCGTACCTCGGTGTCTCTCGCCGCATCTCTATATTTGTCATCTGTCTCCGTGTTCCCTCTCCATGTGTCTATATATTCATATTTCTGTGCATCTATTTCCCTAACTCTGCGTGTCTCTGGGTGTCGAGGTCTCTCTCTCCCTCTCTCTCCATTAGTTTTTCTGCGTGTCTCTGTATCGACTCTGTTGTCTGTACCCTCTATGCACAACACACCATATGGCGAGGCTTACTCTTAGTATTCTTGGGTCGCTTTGTCCCAAGAGCCGCACTATTTATTCAGGCAATAAGCTGACATGCCTTGTGTTAAGTTTACTACAAAAAACCCTGCAGCTTCCAATCTCTGCGCATCCAAGGTGGCCTGGCTTTTCGGCCGATTTTTATTTCATACCCACGACTACATTTTGGGTTATAATTTTGAACATTTCCCAAACATGCCTCAAATTATGGAAATATATCCAACAGTGAACTGAAACATTTAAAGTGAAAGCGCTATGCAGCGTATCTATGCTACATGGTGGGAAACGTATTTAGAAAGAATGCACCATTAATGCGTTTTTATTTTGAAATGTGCGAGAAATTGGTTATCGAGCCCAACGTTTTGATTGCCTCATTATTTACGAGACACCAACATTGCGTCCATTTCTCCTGCGGCCGATTGCTTCCTCCACCGCGACTAATATCGATTAACAAGCAGCGCTGTTAGCATCTACCGATGCATTTTATCCATCACCGTCACCATCTCCCACCTAACAGTAACAACAACCGCCGACCGCGCTTTCGTTTCCTTCCCGCTTCCAGATGTCACTGGGAGAGCCGCCCGGCGGGACCTCGGTTCGCGGTGGCGGCGGGGGGTTGGTGGCCGCCGCCTCCGCCGCTGCCGCCGCGTCGCCGGCGCCGCCGCCGCCCCCGCGGGACTTCGCGGGGGACTTCGCGGGGGACCTGCTGCGCGCGCACAACGCGGCGCGCGCGCGCCACGGCGCCGCGCCGCTGCGCGCGTGCGCCGCGCTGGAGCGCGAGGCGCGCGCCTGGGCCGAGCACCTCCTGGAGAGGCGCGCGCTCAAGCACAGCGACACGAGCCACGGCGAGAACCTCTACTACCGGCCGCTGGGCGCCAGGGAACAGGGCGCCGAGCCCGGCGGTACGGGATTGAGACTAAGGGGACGTAAGAGGGCCAGGGGTTGAGGCTGAGAACACTGGGGTCAGGGGTTAAACCTGGGAGGCATGGGTCAATGCTTAATATTGGGATACTGGGTTAGTGGTCGCACTAAAACGAGCTATGGAGAAATGTCAATTGCCATCTCTTGGGCATGCTGGGGCCTGTGGGCAGGAACAAGGGGTGAACATGGATGGATACCCAAGATCGATGTCGGGAACAGACTTTAACCTGTATAACTGACTTCTGGAGTCATACAGTCCTGCTCAAAACGAGGGGTTGAACCTCCAAAACTGACTTCAGGGTTTACGTATCCTACTCGTTAAAAAGGTGAGCATGTACGTGTGTATGTACGTGTGTGCGCACGTGTGTGCGCACGTGTGCGTGCACGTGTGCCCCAGGCAAAGAAGTGACGGAGCACTGGTACAGCGAGGTGAAGCATTACGACTTCTCCAGCCCTGGATACAAGCCCAACACAGGTGTGTACGTGTGTACGTGTGTACGTGTGCACGTGTGTACGTGTGTGTGCGAGTACTCGCAAAGTCAGCCCATGCTAAACCTGGGCACGTGTTCGGTCTACTCTCATCGGTCTCGTAAGCTTGTAAACTATAGCCAGCTGCTGCCCGATTGGATTGGTGCATCGCAGGATTGTGATAGGTGGCAGCAGCTTAGGTAAGGCCTTCATCCAGCAGTGGATTGATCATGGTTGATGAGGATGATGAACTGAGGGTGTCCAACACCCCCGGGTGTGGTTTACGGAGGTTGCAATTCGCCACCACGGCGATTCGATTAAAACCAATTAAACAAAAAATAACATTGTGGTGAACAGGGGCGGAGCCAGGATTTTCAGCCCGGGGTGACATTCAACAAATTTAAATTTCAAGAATGATTAGAGAGTCAGGCTGTTGAACTAGACGCCATCGGTTGGCGACACACTCTGACAATGCAGTTGCACAGAGTCCGCCAGACCGAGTATCGTACACTTATACCCAGAATGTTTCAGATTTTCGATTTTTTATTTTTTTCGGGGGTGACAATTATCTACCCTGTCACCCCCCTGGCCCCGTCCCTGGTGATGAATGTGCTGGCTACGAGGGGCTCAACTCATTTCATACAACTAACACAATAGTCGTCTACGCACAGATTCGTACAGGCACCACTTGATGCATGCATTGTGAACTTAAGACTCGATATCGATAAACGTTTCGATGAATATTTCCACCTCTGGGCATGTGACAGCTGATTAAACTCATCAACTTAAATATAGTCCACTCGCAATGTGATCCACTCCTTTGCAAACGACGGTGACCTTCATGAGTCGGATTCATTTACATCACTAGCCGAAAGCAATCGACGTTTAGTTGCCTAACGCGCCGATCTTTCGCTATCAATCGCGACCGGATCAACAGCGCTGGCGGACAAAATAACAGAAACAAATAGCTTGATTTAACTGCAGGGATTCATATTCCTGGTTCTTTCGGTAAAGTCACGTAGAAGGGAAACAATTTTATTGTTTTATATTTTTATTATCTTATTGTTTCCCTCCTACGTGCCTTTACCGAAAGAACCAAGAATATGGAAACAAATAGCTTGACGTGCCCGGGTTCAATTATATTAGTAGCTGCTCCTCACTTATTTTCGGGGATCATTGACTCAGTACCCACGTGACCACATCCTATGTCGGTTAATACGCGTTTGTGGAGACGAACTTTAGCACCGCGACGTCCGTGATAGTCCGTTGTCTGGACCACTCCTCCTCCTCCTCCCCGTTAGGCCAGCTCATCCAGAGAGGACTGTAAATCTGTGGTCCTCCAGCAGCTGAGGTCCGTGCGTGCAGCGAGCGCCGCACTCAGATTTCGGCGACCCGAGTTCGATTCCCGCTTCACGTCCAACACCAGTGAAGGTTGTCAGAACCGTTCTCGGGGCCTCGTTTACGTCGACTCAGCCTCAAACGAGTATCGGGTGCGGTTTAAATATCGCCACGAGGGAGACAAAGGCGGCCAGGGCGTGGTGATTACCACGCCTCCTCCTCGTGTGCCTTGCTCGCCATCATAGGGGCCGTCCATAAATGACGTCACGCACCTGGGGGGGGGGGGGGTCAGACATTTGTGACGATGTGTGACGAGGGGGGGGAGGGGTTTGAGAAATGTGACGTCACATCAAAATGCGCAACTTGAAGTAAATATAGACAACACGTTCTACTTAATTAAATATACTTTTTAATAAATGTTTTCTCCTACAACATCAGAGTGCAGCGCCGTATTAAATATGTACTACAATGACAATAGTTTAAAGCGATTTGAAGCATGTTTTATTTTCAAAATTGATATATGGTTTTGGGGGGGGGGGCAGAGCTTTGTGACGTCATATTTGAGGCAGGGGGTCTGACTTTTTGTGACGCCGTGTGACGAGGGGCGGGGGGTCAAAATCCTCCAAAATCGCGTGACGTCATTTATGGACGGCCCCATAGGTGCTCACTAACAGCACTTGGCCCAACATGTTAAAGGTATGCGGGGGGGCCTTTGCCTTTGTGTGCAGTGCACTTCACGCAGCTCGTGTGGCGCGCGTCGTGCATGCTGGGCGTGGGCCGGGCCTGCGACGGGCGCCGCCTCATCGTGGTGACGCTCTACAGCCCCCCGGGCAACCAGGGCCCCCAGGGCGCCTTCCACGACAACGTGCTGCCCCCCTGCCCCATGCCGCCCCCCTTGCCGGCGCTGCCCCCGTTGCCCGTGCCGCCCACGTGCGCTGATGCGTCCCCGTGCCCCGTGCTGCCCACGCGGACTGCACCGCCATCGTCTTCGGATGCGAGCAAAGCGAAGGCAGCGGGCTCTGACGGTGCGTTTGGCGTTGATCTGCGGGCGCTGACGGCCAGGACACACCTGGGGCGATGGCATGGCGATTGTCACCGACAGTGCAATTACTCATGAGCAACTATGGCAATTACGAACTCTAAAGATTCTGTGATGGCTTTAAGCGCACACTCTACAGTGTCTCTGTTGTAGAACAACATTCAACTTTGATCAAATAAAACAAGTATATAATTGAGCATTTTGCCCGCATTGCCAAGATGCTGGGTTTCAGCTACTCGTAATTACCCCAGGTTCTCGAGTTCGTGCTGTGTAGCAAGTAGATGGTCACATCCCCTTAGCCATTAAAAGTACGATTATGATATAAAATTAGCTATTTTTAACATTTAGATCTGATGCTTAAACATTTGGTTTCATTTGCGTAGGACAATCTTTACAAGGCATTAATACAAGGCTTGTCTCTCGTGTCGATAACGACCTCTATGTAAGTTTATCCAGAAGCAGAGACTGGCGCACGGTGGGGCTGTTCTCTGACACTTGGTGATGCGCTACTATTTGCAGACTTTTCGAATGCAATTTGCTGATCTCGTGACCTTACGGGAATAGCACAATTGGACTATGGGTCTCCCTCACGGAAGTGGCGGTGACGCTGAAAGGTCCGTGGCCTGGCGAACTCGAGGATTGTGTGTGCATGTGCTCCCGTAGGGCCGCAAGCAAGTGACTTCCAACAGGATCTGCTTGTGGCGCACAATGCCCTGAGGAAGAGGCACGGAGCGAAGCCTCTGGTCCTCAGCGCGGAGCTCTGTGCAGGGGCCCAGCTCCGTGCCGAGGCCCTGCTCCTCCTCCTAATGGAGCCGGGTGCTGTTACAATGCCACGTGGCGGGCAGCCACGTGAGAACAGATCACACGAACACCCGGCGCACGTGCACACAGAAGAGCTGCAACCGGGACAAAGACTGCACTTGGGAGAAGCACACGCGGATAGGCTGCAGGTGGACGAAGCACAGCCAGGCAGTTTGACGGAAGCAGAGCTGGCTGCGGGTAAACGACAGTCTGAAGAGGTGCAGGCGGAAACGTCGCAGCTGGAGAAGGGGAAGCAGGACAACGTACAGCCAGATAACGGGCACGTGGGAAGTTCGCAGGTGGACAAAGGTCCGTGTGACGATACGCGGTCCCGCACTCGGCGGGAGGATGAGCCGCCACGAGGGGACTCGCAGGGAAAGCCTTCACAACCTGCCTCCCCAAACCATCACGGACTAAAGCCAGCAAATCCACAGCCGCAAGCGCTACAGCCAGATAAACTGCAGGCGAGCGACATACATCCAGGCAGAATATGGACGGAAAGATTACAAGAACATCAACTACATCGAAACAAAGTAATGCAAGAAGGACTACCACCAAGTGAACTGCAGCCGGACAAACTCAGTCCGGATAAACTAGAGACGGAGGAACGACAGCCATATCAACTACAGCCAGAGGCGCTGCAGTCAACGGGAATGCAATCAAATAAAATTCAGAGTGACCAAATACGATCCAATGAAGCATGCGAACTAAAATCAAGTGCGCCTCAACCAGCTGAAGCTCAAGCAGGTGGAGTAGAGGCAATGGAGGCGGGACGGGCGGGGGAGAGGCTCCCAGGCGCGGCGCGCCGGGACGCCGCGGACCTGGAGCGCGTGGGGCGCAGGGAGTCGCGGCCCGGGGAGAACGTCTACCTGGGGGTCGGGGGGGACGCGACACACCCCACGGGTCAGCCACATCGCTCACACACTCACACACACACACCACGTGTCAGCCACATCGCTCATACACTCATACACACACCCCAATACAGCCACATCGCTCACACACACACACCACGGGTCAGCCACACTGCTCATACACTCATACACACACAACAATACAGCCACATCGCTCACACACTCACACACACACACCACGGGTCAGCCACCCTACTCATACACTCATACACACACCCCAATACAGCCACATCGCTCACACACTCACACACACACACCACGGGTCAGCCACATTGCTCATACACTTACACACACACCCCAATACAGCCACATTGCTCACACACACACACACACCCCAATACAGCCACATCGCTCACACCCTCACACACACACACACCCCAATACAGCCACACTGCTCATACACATACACACCCCAATACAGCCACACTGCTCATACACACCCACACACACCCCAATACAGCCACACTGCTCATACACTCACACACACACACACCCCACGGGTCAGCCACACTGCTCACACCCTCACACACACCCCACGGGAAAGCCATATCGCTCACTCCCTCACACACACCCCAATACAGGCACACTGCTCATACACACACACACCCCAATACAGCCACATCGCTCATACACACACACCGGGACAGCCACACTGCTCACACCCTCACACACACACACACCCCAATACAGCCACACTGCTCATACACTCACACACACACCCCGGGACAGCCACACTGCTCATACACACACACACCCCACAATACAGCCACACTGCTCATACACTCACGCACACCCCAATACAGCCACATCGCTCACACCCTCACACACACACCCCAATACAGCCACATCGCTCACACCCTCACACACACACACCCCAATACAGCCACACTGCTCATACACTCACACACACACCCCGGGACAGCCACACTGCTCATACACACACACACCCCACAATACAGCCACACTGCTCATACACTCACGCACACCCCAATACAGCCACATCGCTCACACCCTCACACACACACACACCCCAATACAGCCACATCGCTCACACCCTCACACACACACACCCCAATACAGCCACACTGCTCACACCCTCACACACACACACTCCGGGTCAGCCACATCGCTCACACCCTCACACACACCATGGGAAAGCCATATCGCTCACAAACACCACAGGTCAGCCACACAATTCACACACTCCCACACACCGCGGCGCTGCCACATCACTCACCCAGTCACGCACACTACGGAATGCGCCACACCCCCCTCACATTCACTTACACTACGGATTAGTCACACATCACACACACACCACGGGCCAGCCACATCACTCCCATGTTCACGCACCCCACAGGTCAGCCACACCACTCTCACACCACGGAACCGCCACACTGCTCACACACACACCATGATACAACCACACCGCTCACACACCCACACACACCACGGGCCAGGCACACCAAAGCCTTAGACTGTTGGAGCAAGTGCTGTTATTGAGCACTTCTGAAGTCTAGCATGGTACACAAGGCGGTGGGTGGCCAGGACCAAGCACGACCGCCTTTGTATCCCCAGTGGCGACGTTTATACACACTGCACTATGTAATCATTTGAGGCTGAGTCGCCCTAGGGGAGGCCTGGGATGTGTTCAGATAATCCTCACTGATGTTGGTCGAAGCACAGTGCGCAAACCACTGCGCTCCACTCAACCACTCCACCACACGCCCACACTCCAGGTCAGCATCACCACTCTGACACACACAGATACTGCGGCTCAGCAACATCACTCGTACACTCACATTACGGGGCAAGCACGTCAATCTCAGACTCACGGACCACAGGTCAGCCACATCGCTCACACCAAAGAGTTAGCCCCACCATTTCCACGCACACCGCGGTCAGTGGACCACTCTCACACCGCGTGTTCATCACAACGCTCTTACGCACACCACGGAATCGGCCACACCACTCACACACTTACACCACGGGTCAGCCACACCGGTCACAACACACACCACGGGCCAGGCACACCCTTTACACAGGCACACATACCACGGGTCAGCCACACTCTTTACACAGTCACACACACCACGGCTCAGCCACACCGGTCACAACACACACACCATGGGTCAGCCACACCCTTTACACAGGCACACACAGACCACGGGATCAGGCACACCCTTTACACAGTCACACACGCACCCAGAGTTCAGCAACACCCTTTACACAGGCACACACACCACGGCTCAGCCACACCGGTCACAACACACACACCATTGGTCAGCCACACCCTTTACACAGGCACACACAGACCACGGGATCAGGCATACCCTTTACACAGTCACACACACACCACTGGTCAACCACACCCTTTACACAGTCACACACACACCACTGGTCAGCCACACCCTTTACACAGGCACACACACTACGGGTCAGCCACACCCTTTACACAGTCACACACACACCATGGGTCAGTCACACCATTTACACAGTCACACACACACCACGGGCAGCCACACACATTACACAGTCACACACACCAGGGGTCAGCCACACCCTTTACACAGTCACACACACCACGGGTCAGCCACACCCTTTACACAGTCACACACACACCATGGGTCAACCACACCGGTCACAACACACACGGCACGGGTCAGCCACACCCTTTACACAGTCACACACACACCATGGGTCAGCCACACCCTTTACACAGGCACACACAGACCACGGGATCAGGCACACCCTTTACACAGTCACACACACACCACGGGTCAGCCACACCCTTTACACAGTCACACACACACCATGGGTCAGCCACACCGGTCACAACACACACACCACGGGTCAGCCACAACCTTTACACAGGCACACACAGACCACGGGTCAGGCACACCCTTTACACAGTCACACACACCACGGGTCAGCCACACCCTTTACACAGGCACACACACCACGGGTCAGGCACACCCTTTACACAGTCACACACACCATGGGTCAGGCACACCGTTTACACAGTCACACACACACCACGGATCAGCCACACCCTTTACACAGTCACACACACCACGGGTCAGCCACACCCTTTACACAGGCACACACAGACCACGGGTCAGGCACACCCTTTACACAGTCACACACACCACGGGTCAGCCACACTCTTTACACAGGCACACACACCACGGGTCAGGCACACCCTTTACACAGTCACACACACCATGGGTCAGGCACACCCTTTACACAGTCACACACACACCACGGATCAGCCACACCCTTTACACAGTCACACACACCACGGGTCAGCCACACCCTTTACACAGGCACACACACCACGGGTCAGCCACACCCTTTACACAGTCACACACACCACGGGTCAGCTACACCCTTTACACAGGCACACACATCACGGGTCAGCCACACCCTTTACACAGGCACACACACCATGGGTCAGACACACCCTTTACACAGGCACACACACCATCGGTCAGCCACACCCTTTACACAGGCACACACAGACCACGGGTCAGCCACACCCTTTACACAGTCACACACACCACGGGTCAGCCACACCCTTTACACAGGCACACACACCACGGGTCAGCCACACCCTTTACACAGGCACACACACCATCGGTCAGCCACACCCTTTACACAGGCACACACAGACCACGGGTCAGCCACACCCTTTACACAGTCACACACACCACGGGTCAGCCACACCCTTTACACAGGCACACACACCACGGGTCAGCTACACCCTTTACACAGGCACACACATCACGGGTCAGCCACACCCTTTACACAGTCACACACACCACGGGTCAGTCACATCCTTTACACAGGCACACACACCAGGGGTCAGCCACACCCTTTACACAGGCACACACACCACGGGCCAGCCACACCCTTTACACAGTCACACACACCACGGGCCAGGCACACCCTTTACACAGTCACACACACCACGGGTCAGTCACATCCTTTACACAGGCACACACACCACAGGTCAGCCACACCCTTTACATAGCCACACCCTTTACACAGACACACACACCACGGGTCAGCCACACCCTTTACACAGTCACACACACCACGGGTCAGCCACACCCTTAACACAGGCACACACACCACGGGTCAGCCACACCCTTTGCACAGTCACACACACCACGGGGTCAGCCACACCCTTAACACAGGCACACACACCACGGGGTCAGCCACACCCTTTACACAGGCACACACCACGGGTCAGCCACACCCTTTACACAGGCACACACACCACGGGTCAGCCACACCCTTTACACAGCCACACCCTTTACACAGGCACACACACCACGGGTCAGCCACACCCTTTACACAGCCACACCCTTTACACAGTCACACACACCACGGGCCAGGCACACCCTTTACACAGTCACACACACCACGGGTCAGCCACACCCTTTACACAGGCACACACACCACGGGTCAGCCACACCCTTTACACAGCCACACCCTTTACACAGGCACACACACCACGGGTCAGCCACACCCTTTACACAGCCACACCCTTTACACAGGCACACACCCCACGGGTCAGCCACACCCTTTACACAGCCACACCCTTTACACAGGCACACACACCACGGGTCAGCCACACCCTTTACACAGCCACACCCTTTACACAGGCACACACACCACGGGTCAGCCACACCCTTTACACAGCCACACCCTTTACACAGGCACACACACCACGGGTCAGACACACCCTTTACACAGCCACACCCTTTACACAGGCACACACACCACGGGTCAGCCACACCCTTTACACAGTCACACACACACCATGGGTCAGTCACACCATTTACACAGTCACACACACACCACGGGCAGCCACACACATTACACAGTCACACACACCACGGGTCAGCCACACCCTTTACACAGTCACACACACCACGGGTCAGCCACACCCTTTACACAGTCACACACACACCATGGGTCAACCACACCGGTCACAACACACACGGCACGGGTCAGCCACACCCTTTACACAGTCACACACACACCATGGGTCAGCCACACCCTTTACACAGGCACACACAGACCACGGGATCAGGCACACCCTTTACACAGTCACACACACACCACGGGTCAGCCACACCCTTTACACAGTCACACACACACCATGGGTCAGCCACACCGGTCACAACACACACACCACGGGTCAGCCACAACCTTTACACAGGCACACACAGACCACGGGTCAGGCACACCCTTTACACAGTCACACACACCACGGGTCAGCCACACCCTTTACACAGGCACACACACCACGGGTCAGGCACACCCTTTACACAGTCACACACACCATGGGTCAGGCACACCGTTTACACAGTCACACACACACCACGGATCAGCCACACCCTTTACACAGTCACACACACCACGGGTCAGCCACACCCTTTACACAGGCACACACAGACCACGGGTCAGGCACACCCTTTACACAGTCACACACACCACGGGTCAGCCACACTCTTTACACAGGCACACACACCACGGGTCAGGCACACCCTTTACACAGTCACACACACCATGGGTCAGGCACACCCTTTACACAGTCACACACACACCACGGATCAGCCACACCCTTTACACAGTCACACACACCACGGGTCAGCCACACCCTTTACACAGGCACACACACCACGGGCCAGCCACACCCTTTACACAGTCACACACACCACGGGTCAGCTACACCCTTTACACAGGCACACACATCACGGGTCAGCCACACCCTTTACACAGGCACACACACCATGGGTCAGACACACCCTTTACACAGGCACACACACCATCGGTCAGCCACACCCTTTACACAGGCACACACAGACCACGGGTCAGCCACACCCTTTACACAGTCACACACACCACGGGTCAGCCACACCCTTTACACAGGCACACACACCACGGGTCAGCCACACCCTTTACACAGGCACACACCATGGGTCAGCCACACCCTTTACACAGTCACACACACCACGGGTCAGTCACATCCTTTACACAGGCACACACACCAGGGGTCAGCCACACCCTTTACACAGGCACACACACCACGGGCCAGCCACACCCTTTACACAGTCACACACACCACGGGCCAGGCACACCCTTTACACAGTCACACACACCACGGGTCAGTCACATCCTTTACACAGGCACACACACCACAGGTCAGCCACACCCTTTACATAGCCACACCCTTTACACAGACACACACACCACGGGTCAGCCACACCCTTTACACAGTCACACACACCACGGGTCAGCCACACCCTTAACACAGGCACACACACCACGGGTCAGCCACACCCTTTGCACAGTCACACACACCACGGGGTCAGCCACACCCTTAACACAGGCACACACACCACGGGGTCAGCCACACCCTTTACACAGGCACACACCACGGGTCAGCCACACCCTTTACACAGGCACACACACCACGGGTCAGCCACACCCTTTACACAGCCACACCCTTTACACAGGCACACACACCACGGGTCAGCCACACCCTTTACACAGCCACACCCTTTACACAGTCACACACACCACGGGCCAGGCACACCCTTTACACAGTCACACACACCACGGGTCAGCCACACCCTTTACACAGGCACACACACCACGGGTCAGCCACACCCTTTACACAGGCACACCCATTACACAGGCACACACACCACGGGTCAGCCACACCCTTTACACAGCCACACCCTTTACACAGGCACACACACCACGGGTCAGCCACACCCTTTACACAGCCACACCCTTTACACAGGCACACACACCACGGGTCAGCCACACCCTTTACACAGCCACACCCTTTACACAGGCACACACACCACGGGTCAGCCACACCCTTTACACAGCCACACCCTTTACACAGGCACACACACCACGGGTCAGCCACACCCTTTACACAGCCACACCCTTTACACAGGCACACACACCACGGGTCAGCCACACCCTTTACACAGCCACACCCTTTACACAGGCACACACACCACGGGTCAGCCACACCCTTTACACAGTCACACACACACCATGGGTCAGTCACACCATTTACACAGTCACACACACACCACGGGCAGCCACACACATTACACAGTCACACACACCACGGGTCAGCCACACCCTTTACACAGTCACACACACCACGGGTCAGCCACACCCTTTACACAGTCACACACACACCATGGGTCAACCACACCGGTCACAACACACACGGCACGGGTCAGCCACACCCTTTACACAGTCACACACACACCATGGGTCAGCCACACCCTTTACACAGGCACACACAGACCACGGGATCAGGCACACCCTTTACACAGTCACACACACACCACGGGTCAGCCACACCCTTTACACAGTCACACACACACCATGGGTCAGCCACACCGGTCACAACACACACACCACGGGTCAGCCACACCCTTTACACAGGCACACACAGACCACGGGACAGGCACACCCTTTACACAGTCACACACACCACGGGTCAGCCACACCCTTTACACAGCCACACACACCACGGGTCAGGCACACCCTTTACACAGTCACACACACCATGGGTCAGGCACACCGTTTACACAGTCACACACACACCACGGATCAGCCACACCCTTTACACAGTCACACACACCACGGGTCAGCCACACCCTTTACACAGGCACACACACCACGGGTCAGGCACACCCTTTACACAGTCACACACACCACGGGTCAGCCACACCCTTTACACAGGCACACACACCACGGGTCAGGCACACCCTTTACACAGTCACACACACCATGGGTCAGGCACACCCTTTACACAGTCACACACACACCACGGATCAGCCACACCCTTTACACAGTCACACACACCACGGGTCAGCCACACCCTTTACACAGGCACACACACCACGGGTCAGCCACACCCTTTACACAGTCACACACACCACGGGTCAGCTACACCCTTTACACAGGCACACACATCACGGGTCAGCCACACCCTTTACACAGGCACACACACCATGGGTCAGACACACCCTTTACACAGGCACACACACCATCGGTCAGCCACACCCTTTACACAGGCACACACAGACCACGGGTCAGCCACACCCTTTACACAGTCACACACACCACGGGTCAGCCACACCCTTTACACAGGCACACACACCACGGGTCAGCCACACCCTTTACACAGGCACACACCATGGGTCAGCCACACCCTTTACACAGTCACACACACCACGGGTCAGTCACATCCTTTACACAGGCACACACACCAGGGGTCAGCCACACCCTTTACACAGGCACACACACCACGGGCAGCCACACCCTTTACACAGTCACACACACCACGGGCCAGGCACACCCTTTACACAGTCACACACACCACGGGTCAGTCACATCCTTTACACAGGCACACACACCACAGGTCAGCCACACCCTTTACATAGCCACACCCTTTACACAGACACACACACCACGGGTCAGCCACACCCTTTACACAGTCACACACACCACGGGTCAGCCACACCCTTAACACAGGCACACACACCACGGGTCAGCCACACCCTTTGCACAGTCACACACACCACGGGGTCAGCCACACCCTTAACACAGGCACACACACCACGGGGTCAGCCACACCCTTTACACAGGCACACACCACGGGTCAGCCACACCCTTTACACAGGCACACACACCACGGGTCAGCCACACCCTTTACACAGCCACACCCTTTACACAGGCACACACACCACGGGTCAGCCACACCCTTTACACAGCCACACCCTTTACACAGTCACACACACCACGGGTCAGGCACACCCTTTACACAGTCACACACACCACGGGTCAGCCACACCCTTTACACAGGCACACACACCACGGGTCAGCCACACCCTTTACACAGCCACACCCTTTACACAGGCACACACACCACGGGTCAGCCACACCCTTTACACAGCCACACCCTTTACACAGGCACACACACCACGGGTCAGCCACACCCTTTACACAGCCACACCCTTTACACAGGCACACACACCACGGGTCAGCCACACCCTTTACACAGCCACACCCTTTACACAGGCACACACACCACGGGTCAGCCACACCCTTTACACAGCCACACCCTTTACACAGGCACACACACCACGGGTCAGCCACACCCTTTACACAGCCACACCCTTTACACAGGCACACACACCACGGGTCAGCCACACCCTTTACACAGCCACACCCTTTACACAGGCACACACACCACGGGGTGAGCCACCCCACTGTGAGTCTCACACCACCAGCAGCCACAAGGCTCACACACACCACAGGTCATACACACACACCACAGGTCATACACACACAAAGCCACTCAACACCGTGTCTGGCGCCTATGTAAGGGCGTGCAGGCACTTTTTGCAGAGGGATGGACACCGTCCCTTGGCGATTGATCCCACCTCACTTCTCCTGTGCCCCCTGTCCGTGTGAATCGACAGCGTCTGAGGTCACCGACGCCTGGTATAGCGAAATTGTACGACACAACTTCGACATCCTGAGCCCTCAGACCGAGTCCGGTAAGAGCTTGCATTGTGTCCACTCATGAGGACATCTTCATCGCCTTGACCCCCTCGACGCTGTGATGGAGAGAATAGGCTGGGCGATGGAGGTTGCACATTCATCAGACGATTATATTGACCACAAGCACGTAATGACGCATCTCTCCATACATTCAAATTGACTCGGGCTCCCGGAACATGCGTTGAATTGTGTAAGAATCGATTGTTTAGAATATGCTAAGTCAGACTCAAACTCAGACGAATGGAGCTTAGGAAACTGTACAAACGATACGGAAAATGACACGCAATACAAAAGAGATCGTTAAAAGGAGATGATGGAGAATCAATTCTCCAGTTAAATTGCGAGTGAATCATGGCAATTACTGGGCAGGCTGAGTAGTTACACGCCGAGTGAGGACAATGAGGACAATCACGATGATGTCTGTGTTTTATTTAACCTGCTCATGAATAAGGTTGGTGATGCTAAATGCGGTAAAACTCCAATGACATTCCGGTGAGATGTCTTCTCGCAGCAGTGGCCAACACGTGGATCGTGATCCACGGGTGGATGATTGCCAACTATACATTTTTGGGGATCTCTAGGATAAATAAGAACACTTAAAACCAGCAGACAACAATTATCTTCATGGCTTATGGCAAATACAAAGCCCTGACTAAGAATTCATAGATATATATAAAAAAACAACTACCAATAGGTGATGCTCGTAGTGTTATTCTATTAACCTATAGCAAATATGATACCATGTTTAGCAACCTCTATGTTATTGTCGTTTAAAACAACATCTCAATTTAACGTTTTTTTCATATGCAGTCACATTGTGGCAGGCCAGGATAATTGTTTTTTTTAAACAGTGCTTGGTACAATAAACAGAATCTAGCCACATAAATAACGTAGCTTTCATCATTTAAACAAAACTTGCTCGGACATTACAGGGTTAACTCCGGGTAATTATTTGGCCAGAGATTTTGAGAGGGGGGGGGGTGATCATCGCAGAGCGCGTTGACATCCACCGCAGTGGCCAATCCACCGCAGTGGCCAATCCACCGCAGTGGCCAATCCACCACTTGGTGGATTGGCCACTGCGCTGTCCTCTCGTTTGAAAAGTTTAGCTCGGAATTTTTTAGGATTCAATATTTTCTGTCACTGGACTTTGGCGAAACAAACTACTTCAACTGAACTACTATTTAATTAATTAGCCAGGTAAAGCCCACGAGCCATTCGCAATTTTTCAGAGGCGACCTGGCCACGCATAGCTAATCTAAGTGGCTTCATCATCATACGTGGAATCATGTTTTTTTCAACTTGCAACACACTTAACTGACAAATATCATCGTCGTCATAATCATCGCGACAGTATCAGTGTAACGGAATTCCTGGAGACGGCAAACACCACGTGCTTCTTATTGGGGTGGGAATGAGAGAAAACTTAAAGTTATATTAATCATCGACGGCAACATATTTTTTTATTCGCCTGTTTGAAAAAAGTGAATATTTATAAGGACAAAAATTACTTTAAATATTAAATTCTGAAATGGCCAGGAGATAGCATTATAGAAATGGATTTTTTCAATTTGTCTTTGCAAATATTTGAATGTGAACCCATTGTTTGGAATATCTCCTGCAGGAAATTATTGTGCCCACCCATACCCACTCATAAAGAGAACTGGCCAAACCTCTTAAAAACAAGTGTTGAATCTTAGAGTTGGTTACCTGGATAAGGTTATAAAAAAACATTACATCTACTTTTTATAATGAAACAAACATTTTGTGTCTATGCTAAGTCGACCTTCAGAGCGCAGGGCAACTGCTGCCATCAGTGAATTCTGAATTCTCTTACCTGCACATCGCTGCTGGTAAGAGCACAAAGCTCGGCATGATGTGTCCGGTCGGGCTAAATAACGAGACGCACTGCACCGCAGCTCGCTTCTGCCAGTTGGTGTGGAGGGCCTCGCAGAGCCTCGGGGTCGGCCGTGCCGTCAGCCCCCAGGGCTGCGTGGTGGTCGTGGCCGTGTACGACCCCCCCGCTCTCGGGCAACGATGCGCGACTCCCAGCGACGATGCCGAAATGATCGCCGTCTCTCCGGTGGCAGCGCCAAACGGAAGTTGTGTCCCGGGGACAGAAGGGGTGGACGAAGACCGCGGCCCGAGGGTGACAGAATTGGCGGACGATGACGATTGTGCACTCGAGGTGGACGCGGGGGTGATGCTTACCCCGGAGGAGGCTGTGCCCATGGACGACACCTCGTCGGTCGGTGGGGGCTCGGGCATCGGGAAGTCGGAGAAGTCGTCCCTCGTCGAGGGGGTTCGGGAAAGCGATGCGATGGAAGATCCAGATCGTTCCGTGGCAGAAAGCACGGCAACTGTGATGGACGAATCGGCAAGCGCACGTGCCGTGGGTACAGGTGGCAAGACCGATGCCTTGAGTGAGTTGGCACCGAAGGAAGCCATGCCGAAGTCAGTTTCCTTCTTGTCACTTGGAGATGCCCCCTGGACAATGGAGCTGTCGATGCAGTCTGCCGACACAGACTTGGATACAGAGGAGAGCTCGGGGACAGAAACTCTGGTGATGGATTCAGACAGAACAACTTGTGAAATAATGGACAAATCTGAGGCAGAAGCAACTGAAGAGCTCCCGTGGGTAGCAGAAAGGGTGCATGGAGGTGCAGGCTCATGTGAAGAAGTGGGAAGAGAAGATACTCTGGCGATGGAGAAAATTATAGGCGAGTCTCGCACAAAAGAGCACACCAGAGGCGGAGATGAAGGAGAGATGGTGGCTGGGAAAGACATCCGACAAGTGGCAGAGGAAGTCTTGAACGTGGCTGGCGGCGGTAGCGTGGAGCCCAGCGACGGTGGAGCGGAGTCTGAAAAGACTAAACGACCACGCTCCGACGTGGAAAATGGGACTCCAGGGATGATGGCAGCAGTGACAGTGGCAGAGGTGACTTGTCGGAGGGCAACAGGGGCAGTGCCACACAGAGAAGTGGGGGTGAAGGCACTGGGGGGCGCCATCGCGACAAAATCCGGAGCAGCCGCGGGAGACGTGAAACTCGCGCCGCCACAGCGAGACGAGGTGCCGAAAGCGCTCGCGAGGGCCGGGAGGAGGGCAGACTGCTCCGCGCCCGGTGCACCCACCGTAGCGTCTGGGTCAAAGGTCACGGCAAGGACGCCAAGGGCGGAGGTGGTGCTGAGCAACGTGGTCGGGACGGAGGCGCTGATCAAGGCCACGCTGGTGGGAGATGCGCTCTCGGAGCTCTACCGGAGGAACGTGCTGCCCGTCGTCAGGAGCACGCCCTGCACTCCCCAGCCACACGCGCGGCTCCACATCTCAGGTGACTGACTATACGTTCGTGTCTGTGTGTCAACAGACACCTGTAGACCTTGTGGGGAGCGGTGGGGGGAGTGTTCAGAGCAGTGCACTACGAACCCGGCCACCCGAGTTTCGGTTCCCGCTCACGGCCAACACCAGTGACAAATATGAGAACCGGTCCTGGGCCTTCCCTAGATCGACTCGGCCTCAAATGAGAAACTGCTGTGGTCTGTAAACATCGCCACTGGGGAGACAAAGGCCTTGGTGCTGAACATAGTGGCAGAGAGAGATAGGCAAGTTGTGCTATGAACTCTATGAGCTAAGTTTAATTCCTGGTCACATCTTACATCAGTGGCGAGTGTTGTTTGAACTTGGGCCAAAAGGCATGGGGAGGCCTTCATCCAGCAGTGGAATAACAAATGGCTGAATTCTTATTCATGATTGCCTCCATTTCATCTCCATTTCCTCCATTATCATTACCACCTCCTCAATAATTGCCACCTCTTCTACCTCCATCTCATCTCCATTCCTCCCGTCCTCCTCCACCCTCCCCCTCGCCGCTGCCATCGCATTTCAGAGGAGGACCAGGAGGAGTTTTGTATCGACGTCCTGGCGGAGCACAACCGCCTGCGCGAGATCCACGGCGCCCGGCCGCTGCGGCGGAGCGTGGCGCTGGGCCGGGATGCGCGCGCCTGGGCCCGCGAGCTGGCACGCTCGCGGGCGCTGCGATCCCACCCCACTGTGCCGCACGGCCAGAACGTGTGGGCCAAGCACATCGGCACGGGCGAACTGCCCAAAGGTGGAGATGGGGAGGGGTGGGTGCGGTGTAAGAGGCGGCGGGGGTGGGGGGGACGGTGGCAGAGCAGATGGCCCCATGCCCGTTGCACGTACAGTGAGGGAAAAAAGTATTTGATCCCCTGTTGATTTTGTACGTTTTGCCCACTGACAAAGAAATGATCAGTCTATAGTTTTAATGGTAGGTTTATTTGAACAGTGAGAGACAGAATAACAACAAAAAAATCCAGAAAAAACGCATGTCAAAAATGTTATAAATTGATTTGCATTTTAATGAGGGAAATAAGTATTTGACCCCTCTGCAAAACGTGACTTAGTGCCTGGTGGCAAAACCCTTGTTGGCAATCACAGAGGTCAGACGTTTATTGCAGTTGACCACCAGATTTGCACACATCTCAGGAGGGATTTTGTCCCACTCCTCTTTGCAGATCTTCTCCAAGTCATTAAGGTTTCGAGGCTGACGTTTGGCAACTCGAACCTTCAGCTCCCTCCACAAATTTTCTATGGGATTAAGGTCTGGAGACTGGCTAGGCCATTCCAGGACCTTAATGTGCTTCATCATGAGTCACTCCTTTGTTGCCTTGGCTGTGTTTTGGGTCATTGTCATGCTGGAATACCCGTCCACGACCCATTTTCAATGCCCTGGCTGAGGGAAGGAGGTTCTCACCCAAAATTTGACGGTACATGGTCCCGTCCATCGTCCCTTTAATGCGGTGAAGTTGTCCTGTCCCCTTAGCAGAAAAACACCCCCAAAACATGTTTCCACCTCCATGTTTGACGGTGGGGATGGTGTTCTTGGGGTCATAGGCAGCATTCATCCTCCTCCAAACACGGCGAGTTGAGTTGATGCCAAAGAGGTCCATTTTGGCCTAATCTGACCACAACACTTTCATCCAGTTGTCCTCTGAATCATTCAGATGTTCATTGGCAAACTTCAGACGGGCATGTATATGTGCTTTCTTGAGAAGGGGGACCTTGCGGGCGCTGCAGGATTTCAGTCCACGGCGTAGTGTGTTACCAATTGTTTTCTTGGTGACTATGGTCCCAGCTGCCTTGAGATCATTGACAAGATCCTCCCGTGTAGTTCTGGGCTGGTTCCTCACCGTTCTCATGATCATTGCAACTCCACGAGGTGAGATCTTGCATGGAGCCCCAGGCCGAGGGAGATTGACAGTTATTTTGTGTCTCTTCCATTTGCGAATAATCGCACCAACTGTTGTCACCTTCTCACCAAGCTGCTTGGCAATGGTCTTGTAACCCGTTCCAGCCTTGTGTAGGTCTACAATCTTGTCCCTGACATCCTTGGAGAGCTCTTTGGTCTTGGCCATGGTGGAGAGTTTGGAATCTGATTGATTGATTGCTTCTGTGGACAGGTGTCTTTTATACAGGTAACAAGCTGAGATTAGGAGCACTCCCTTTAAGAGTGTGCTCCTAATCTCAGCTCGTTACCTGTATAAAAGACACCTGGGAGCCAGAAATGTTTCTGATTGAGAGGGGGTCAAATACGTATTTCCCTTATTGAAATGCAAATCAATTTATCACATTTTTGACATGCGTTTTTCTGGATTTTGTTGTTGTTATTCTGTCTCTCACTGTTCAAATAAACCTACCCTTAAAAATTATAGACTAATCATTTCTTTATCAGTGGGCAAACGTACAAAATCAGCAGGGGATCAAATACTTTTGTTCCTTCACTGTACCGTTGCGTTCGCGTGGGTTCGATACCGACCCTGACGCCAATGGTCGCGTGGATTTTTCTCCAGGTCCTTCGGTTTTCCCCTCCACATTTAGAAACATGTGTTTTAGAGTATTTGCCTGCTATACATTTCCACGTGATAAGCCACTTCGTTGAGCTATCATTTGTGACCAGGTCACTTCTTAAAAAGAGTTATATAGCTCAGTGGGCCTTACCTGCTAAAATCCAAATAGTTTAGTTTAACCGCAATGTTAAGAGAATATGGCCCACAGATTTCCTTGCGTTGAACCGATTCTGTTGAAATTATGCACTCCCAAAAGGCCACATGGCCGATGGGATGTACGAAAAGAATATATACTTTCATATATTACGTGGAGAGACAAATGTGTGAAGGAGATATATTTATTTTGGTGCACACATAAGGTTAGTGGTTATCGTGATAATGACATTTTATGTTATGGGTTTAATATAAGCGTTTCCATCCTCACGATATAATAATTGATATTATGTGTACCGTTAGATTAGAGGTGTGCTGATGACGCCTAAACCACAGTCTGCAGTCCCCAGCAGCTCTGGATCCACTTAGCCATAGCGTTGGCTGGGTAGGCGAAGAAAAAGGCTCAGATTGACTCGGTACGAACGGGACGCCTCCTGGATTTGACCATCGCTATGCTCAATATGCAGACTCTGGTGAATCACACCTTGAGCAGGATCGATCGGCCAATGGCTCTTTGAGTTTGTATTGTAAAGCGCCCTGGGATGCCTGCGCATGAAGAGTGCTGTATGAAAACCAACTGTTTTATTGTCACTGCAGGACGTAAGGTTACCAACTGCTGGTACGCGGACCGGCTGGCCTACGACTACAACAACCCGGGGTTTCAGCAGGGAACCGGTAGCGCAGACCCCACACATGACTCCTGCCATACACTCTCTCCACACCCTCTAACCCCAAATTCTTTAGTATTACCCTTTGGGCACTAAGCCTTATCTGTCACTTTACCCATCACTATCACCTTGACCATCAGCATTTGATCTTAAAGCTTAAGTTGCACGCACATTTGTTGCCGTCTTCAAATCTTGTGGAAATTCCCATGTTAAAAACTGCAACTTTGTTGCTTCTGTTTTGCAACAAATTTGCACGCTGTTGGGCCACTCATCCATGGGCCTTTGTTTCCCAAAGAAGAGGCCGAGTGGATCTAAAACTGGAGAAATAAAGTTTCTTTGGGATCTGAAAATCACAGCAAATTTGTTCACAACCGTTTGGACGTGTCTTTCGTGTTGTAGTCAGAACAGCTCAGTAATTGGCTGGATGAGGTCTTATGAGTCGTGATGGTAACGAAAGGCTATTTTACAATATGGCCAATGGGTTACTTCTTGAGGTGGAAATGGTCAACAAAAAAATGTTTAATCTGTCTTTTTGAAGGTAGACAACAAAACTCACTCTGGTTGTTTTCTTAATAATTTTTTTTTATGCTCCCAAATGTTTATTTCATGCTTTGGCTGGAAAGGTGTTTTTTCTTAACTCAACTCCTAAACTAACGATCTGCCTACAAGTAATCAGCTGTAGCTTAACTTCTGACTCGTGACCCATGATCCTCATGCGTGATGTCGTAACTGCGATCCATGTTCTGCCATTCGCGACCCCTTCTGTGACCTGTGACTCAAATCCATGACCTCTACCCTTAACACAAGCATACTATGGTCTGTGACCTTGGAGAGAGTATCCTTGCTTTGTGACCCTTTGCTCTGTGACCCCTTGACCCCTTGATCCCAGGCAACTTCTCCCAGCTGGTGTGGCGAAGCTCCCTCGATCTGGGCGTGGGGCTGGCGTGCGACGGGCGAGGCATGTTCGTGGCCGTCGCATTCTACAGCCCCGCGGGAAACCTGCCCTACGCCATGAGCTACCGCGACAACGTGCTGCCCCCACACACACAGGGCATGGCTAAGGGGCAGGGCTAGGGGGGGGGGGGGACGTGACTTGAGGGCACGCCCACGGAATAAGAACGTGGACAAGGGAAGTGCTGAGGCTAGAGGAGAGGGATGAGGCTGGGAGCACGTACAGGGAGCTGCTCATGGGGAGGAGCACAGCTCAGGGCAGGGGCCGTTCTCAGGGTAGGGCTAGGGACATACGTAACTTGTGTGGCGTCGCCATCAATCCCCATCCCCTGGATTCCATTCCCCTGCGTCTCATGCCCCCTTTCCCCCCGTTGAGACTTCATTTAGCCCCCCGCTTGTCAAACGGTCACGCCATACCCTTTGGCAACGTCAATGCCACGGGTAGAGGGCTAAGATCAGCGGCGAGGCTAGGATCAGAGACAAGGGACAGAGATGGGGCAGAGTTAGGGGACGGAGGAAGTATGAGAGATAAAATTATGGATTGGTGCAGAGTTAGAGCAACGGCGAGGATGGCACGAAGGCAGAGGTGGGGCTGGCAAAACGTAGACAGAGTACGGTGAGCAGGAGTTGGTGGTGCAGGGCAGGGTGACAGCCTGGGGCTGTGCCACGTGTGAGGTGGCTTGGGCTGAAGTGTGGGAATTGGCGTCTGTGAAGTCGCCCCTGGGTGGGAGAATGTGGCTCATCATGGCTAACACTGCAGCGGTGGGCACTGGGATTCAAGCGGGGGACGAGAGGTGACATTCAATGCATGGTTTTGACTAAACTGACAAAAAGCAGCACTTATTAAATAGAAGTACTAGACAATGAATTAATAATTGATTGTAAACCAGAGTTATTATTTTCTTTGTTTTTCAATTATGCCTGAAAATGAATATATAATCGAATGTATACATATAAATACATGCTGTGTGCATAATATAAATATCAATGATTATAACACAAAATAAATTATGCAATGTGTTTATCGGATTCATCAAATTATTAAAATACTTCCGATTAAATTTTGATTTAAAGCTTTCGTGACTGCAGGGATTCATAGTCTTGGTTCTTTCGGTAAAGTCACGTAGAAGAAAGAACCAAGAATACTTCTGATTAGTTTCGGAAGTAAAATGTGACTTCAGGCTCTCAGTGTCCTTCAGCCCAGTGAGAGCCAGAGGCTCGATGTGTTAGTTGAGGTTCCTTCATGATGCGACGGCCCATTGAGATTCATTACCCTTTGAACACTGTCCTTTAACCAAGCGAGGCACCAGTGGAATCACATCTTATAGATGAATTCCCTTGACATAATCTGGCGAGTGCCAAACAGGATTCATTAGTCAATATTGATTTGAAGCTTTCGTGACTGCAGGAATCCATACCGAAATAACCAAACAGTAAGGATTAATTAGCTCTTGATCCATGATCCTTTAACCAGATTCATGATTCCTTGATTAAAGAACTTCAGCGGAGTGCGTGAGTGTGTGTGAGCACAAACATGGATTACCCTTTATTTAATCTGGTTGAAGGACTTTGATGTGTGGTAGTGAAGTCAACGTATCTTTTAAACAACCCCGTGGCTACTATGTAAAATAAGCATACGGTTTACCCTTTCTGGTAATGAAACAGTTGTCTTAAGATGTTCAAACATCAAATAGAGACATTTTGCAAGGAATCGGGTCTGCATTAACTACACGTACTTGTGGTGAACACGCAAACATGTTCTGATAATATATGCATTGTGTTTGAAACTGATTTCCCTACACCACAGATGGCCTACTATATGGCATTTTCTCACCAGTGTCAGACCAGAGAACACCTGTTTTATTGCCAGATAGGGTAACACATTCTTATTTTTCATACTAACGGCTAGTGTGAGCTGGGGTTGGTGGATCATACAGAGACGTGGGGAATCACCACTTCTAGCGAGTGATTCTCTGACGCATCACGTAATGAATGCAGGTCTTTGACCCAAAATATCTGTAGGGGGCAGTAACGCTGTTTCACTCCAGACACTATGCACTGTGGCTGGGAGCCGCTAATGGATATCGGAGTTCCGTCAAAGGGATGGATCCCTCCTCAGGGTGGAATGATTGAACCCCCGAACGATCTCAAAAGTTGTCACCTGAACACTTACATACAACGTATGCAAATTGAAAGCAAATAATTGCAACACAATTCTATGGTTGCATCGTGAACGTAATATCTTTGCATCTCGTCATCGCTCCTCGCTACTGATTCGTACTATTGTTTGTGCATTGCTGATTACCTGATAAATGTCTGCCAGTGCTGAGGAGTTAGAGAATATTATGTCCTGCGTGAACGGATGGAACCGTACCATCCCTGACCTCTGAAGTATCCTCAGACTTTATACAGCAGATTTGAGAGGTCTGCCGTCGGCTCTATGCAGACGGAAACGGGGAGGTGAACGGGTGGCTCAGGAATTTGAGCACTGAGCTGGCACCGCTAAGATGCTGTTGTTTGAATCTCGGTTTCAGAAAAAAAAAAGATTGAAAATTGAGTTCTCAAATGTAGTGAGCTGGTGGTCTCATCCCAGTTACCAATTACTGCACACACAAAAATCATAGATAAAATTTGCTATTTCTCTTTGGCTAAAATTGCAGCTGGCAATTAAAAATAGCAGTTTAAACTGCCATGTGATCAGCATTGTTATTATGTGGGAAAGCGCGCCCCTACCGTGTGGATTAGAAAAGCTCATTTGAATGGATCTCAGAAGTAGTTTTGTGATATATGCTACTGCGGGCCATTCTATAAACGTGGGGAGTTACTTGTGCAAAGCCCAAACCCGTGAGAAAGACAAAACACTGGGAAACTTTTAGTCATCAAACGATTCGGTCTGCCTCGGCAAGTGGTACGGCGGTTCTGGAGATGATGCTGGACTTCCCAACTTTCCACATGTGGGCAAGGTGTGCGTGCGTAGTCACGGGCGGTTTGCAAGTCAACACAGAGAGAGGGATCTCTCGTTTCTGTACGGATCTGGAAAGATGGCAAGTGACGTCATCGTCTCAGTGGCTCAATAACGCCCTGTGACAGCTGCTTCGTGAATCTCATTCTTAGCTGCATCGACTGCTGCCTTTTCTACACCTGCACAGCGTGGAACCGAATCTCAACGCCGATCCCACATCCGTACCCCCCCTCCCCCAACTCCACCCCATATAACTGCATCGCACGGACAAAGTGTGAGAACAGAGATACGCAAACATTACTGTGTATATCTCTTTCACACATTTCTCTTGTCTCCACACGCAATTTTATTTTTTATTACACAACACATAATTATATATAATGCGGTAATGTTTACACATTCCCCAATCTGTAATCAATAAATACAGCATTTGTAACGCGCTTTATTCAGCAGATAGCTGAGACGGAAGCGTGGATGGCGCAGATAAAATGTTAACTAAATTATTCTAAACAGAAGAGAAACATGGTCATAGTCTGGTCTTAAAAGCACCGAGCGTGTCACGGCAGACTGTTCGAGACCACCATGGCTGCAGATGAACAACTCTGTTTTGCTGACCTAAGACGAGTGGATCAGGGCGCCACGATGCCCTGGTGTGCAAGGAGTTTTCGTGGCTGCGATCCCGAACCCGGCGCCTCTATATTTGGAGTTTGCGTGTCGCTTTGCCTTTAGTCGCGTGGATTTTTCTCCGGGTCCTCTGGGGGGTTTTTTCCCCCTCCCCATTTATAATCAGAACACGCGTTGAGATAATTTTGCCCACTATAAATCTGCACATGTTACGACCCTTCGTTGAACTATCATTTGTGGCCAGGTCGCTTCTGAATAAGAGCTGTATAGTTTCAGTGGGGCCTTACCTGGTGAGTAACAAAAAAAAAGTTTAGTTTTAGTTGACATCTCACAGAGTAGCAGCAGCAGCAGCCGGCCCATAGCAGCTGAGTGCAGGTTTCGTGATGGCGCATAAGCAACAAGAATCAGTTCTGAAATCGCAGGTTGTATATGTTATATCTCCACACCACCGCGGATTGTACTGATTCACATCAGCTTGGATTGTATTAATTCACACCATTATATAATTATCTATGCACAACACTATACATTTTACATATCGACGCAACTACACATTCCAGAGATTACATACATCTAAATGAGCATCTGTTGCGGTGTGTAAATCCTGGATGAGCACAGGGGCGTGGTGCTGCACTCTTTAAAGTGCTTCAGCGCGCCTCCAGCTGTCGGGATGCAACAACGCTCACTGTCTTTACTCTGCCGTCCACAGCAGTGATTTGAACCAAGGATAATTATTATCGATTCGGGCGTCATGAGTTCAGGCTAACTAACGTAAGTGGGGCAAGTGATATCTGAACGCGTCCTGGGCCACTCCTTCAAATGGTTAAACAACTCCCCCCCCCCACAGCCCACCATCCAGCAGAGGAGATGCAGCGAAACAGTTGTGACGAGACACGTAGACTCATCCATTCCACGCCCGATTACCGTTCTTGTGAATGGTAGCAATAAACTCTGCCGATATCGGTTACTGAATCGCACCCACGCCCGGCCACGTTTTGTGCTGATCACGGCGTATTAGTCATCAAGAGAGGCCATGTGCGCGTTATGCAAATGAGCGGTAACTCGTCGGTTGAAGGGATAATGAGGGTAATTAGAGGGAGGCAGGAGTGAGGCTCCCACTGTCACTCAGCGGGGAGCGACACACAAGGCCGCTTTGTCTCGGCTTGCGGGCAGCACGTGAACCAGCCCCGACCCGGGCGCGAACTCGTCGGCACAGGCCTGCTGAACGCAGAGCAGCAGCGCTGCCAATAACACTCTGCCTTCTTCGTTTTTTTTTTGTTGTTTCTCATTTGAAGTCCACTTACGCAAGCTGAGCCATGTCATTACGAGTCGAACGCATTAATTCGGAACTGCCGGAGCCAGCGATCAGAGCGTCCGCGTTGTGCGAGAGACTGATGACCCCTGGGAGATGTCACAGAAATACTTGAGAGGTCACTTCGAGTGGCTCTTTATTCACGTTAGGTGGCGCACCTTCTCACACCCCACACAACATTCTCACACCCCACACAACAATCTCACACCCCGTACAACCTTCTCACACCCCGTACAACGTCACACCCCACACAACCTTCTCACAGCCCACACAACCTTCTCACACCCCACACAACATTCTCACACACACAACATTCTCACACCCCACACAACCTTCTCACACAACAATCTCACACCCCACACAACCTTCTCACACCCCGTACAACCTTCTCACACCCCACACAACCTTCTCACACCCCGCACAACCTTCTCACACCCCACACAACCTTCTCACACCCCGTACAACCTTCTCACACCCCACACAACATTCTCACATACAACACAACAGTCTCACACCCCACACAACATTCTCACACCCCACACAACAGTCTCACACCCCGTACAACCTTCTCACACCCCACACAACCTTCTCACACCCCACACAACCTTCTCACAGCCCACACAACCTTCTCACACCCCACACAACAATCTCACACCCCACACAACATTCTCACACCCCGTACAACCTTCTCACACCCCACACAACAATCTCACACCCCGTACAACCTTCTCACACCCCGTACAACGTCTCACCCCACACAACATTCTCACACCCCACACAACATTCTCACACCCCACACAACCTTCTCACACCCCACACAACATTCTCACACACACAACATTCTCACACCCCACACAACCTTCTCACACAACAATCTCACACCCCACACAACCTCCTCACACCCCGTACAACCTTCTCACACCCCACACAACCTTCTCACACCCCGCACAACCTTCTCACACCCCACACAACCTTCTCACACCCCGTACAACCTTCTCACACCCCACACAACATTCTCACATACAACACAACAGTCTCACACCCCACACAACATTCTCACACCCCACACAACAATCTCACACCCCGTACAACCTTCTCACACCCCGTACAACGTCACACCCCACACAACAGTCTCACACCCTGTACAACCTTCTCACACCCCA